GCTGGGTCATCCGGCAAATGGATTATGTGAAACCCATTTAGTTGAGTTTTTGACGGTTCTCCAGAATGAATGCCACCATTTGGGATGTGCTAGACCATATCTCGGAGCGACAGCACTTCATCTTGACGTTTCTGTTCCTTGAGGCGGGTATCCTATCGCTTTTGGTAGCCCTAGCAGTGTTGTGTGCCTTAATCCTTGTCCGCAACTCGGAGGATTTTCATTTTCTGTAAAAAGTGAACAATGGAAAACAACGAAACTCAGGTGATCTCGGGTTACCTGCTGGAATCCCACCAGCAGCACCAGCAGGCGAGTTCTTTCCTCTACTTGGTTATTCGCATTGGCATTAAATTATCTCTGCTGGCATTTATCGGTCTTGCACTATATTGGAGGCGTCGTCGGGCTATCAACGATCCAAGTAAGTTGCGGAAAACAAACTCAGTAAGAGAATTGTGTGTTGTTATCACTGATAAGTGCTATCTTTATGAGAGTGCGATTGCCCTTTTCTTTTGGCCATTACGGGACACATTTCTCGATTGCCAATCCGCCGTCGCCGTCTTTAGTTCTACGCTTCTGTTTAGTCTTTGTGCGCCGCTTACTCAGTCAGTATCGAGAAATCATGGATGATTCCGGCATCTACTGGATACTCTTCTTTACCTTCTCCGTTTTCTTTATGACCTCCGCCGCGGTCTTCCTTACACGAGGACGCACCCAAAGGGCGGCTTTAACCAAGGGTGCAGGTGTGTTTGTGTGTGTGATCGATGGAATAAAAGCCTAATCAAGGCGATAAGGGTTATCGCCTTATTATAATACCCTATTATTTATAAAACACTCTAGTTCTGTGATATTTCTCTTTTTGATCAGTTTAATGATCAATCGAAACCCCACAAGAAAAGCCAGGAATGCTGCAGATAAGAGTGTAGGAAATGTAATTTATTTATTAACTAATCAGTTATTTGGAGATCTCCATTTTTCGGGCGATAACGCTTTTGTATTTATAAAATACCCAAAAGCTTTAATCAGTAGTATTCGTTGTCTCAGTTTTCCTGATTCTTGCCACTTTAATGATCACCCTGCAGTACTGCCTGGCAAAGAAATTCAGGGCAAGAGCAGCACATGTTACATACGACAGTAAGATAACAAGTTCAAGTGCAATTTTGATAAACTAATCAGAAAGAAGAAGATTGAAAGAAAGTGTGATTGTGAACAATGAACTCTCTTTGGGTGATTTACCCTAGATGTTAAATAGATTAGATAGATTCCACTCTTGCTTGTTGGAAATTGTTAAATTCCCATTGAAAGCCCTTGGGAAAATCAGTTTGAATCGTGTTCCTTGTCGCATAGCACCTATTTAATTTGATTCCAGTTATAAATAATTTTCCCCATGAAGAATTTTTGGGTTCCGATTATAGGATTTTCAATATTTTTTATACTTGTTTTGCTGGGCAGCCTATGTAAAAAGAAGGCCACAAATGTTACTCATGAAAGTAAGAAATTGAAATGAAGTACAAAGAGCCTCCTAATAAGCCTAAAAATTAAGTGGAAAAACAATTGATCTATTAAAAACCAAACGAGATTTAGAGGCTAATAAAGAACACATGTGGTTGCTAAACGTTAAACTTCCTTTCTGGGTTAAATAAGTGCACAAAACCCATCGAAAGTCCTTTGGCTTAAGTGTGTGAAAACAGAATTAAAGGGTTTTCAAAACACATTCCTATTGCAATGTCAATTCTCATTTTTAACCGATATAAGGGCATGAAACTCACCAAAGTTTAATTTTAGGTTTATCTATGAATTATTTAGGTTGAAAATTGTCAAATGACAAATGACAATTGGACGGTGAACTCCCTCTTCCGGTTCGATAAGGGCGCCTTGCCCATAAAAAGCCCATTTGCAATTCAGTTGGTATTGTATTCCCCATCAAACAACACCTTTTGAGTTCGAAATAATATTCGCTATGGAGTTTTATTTGATTCCCATTATAGGATTCTCAGCTTTTATCATACTAGCTGCATTATTATTCACTTTACAGTACTGTGTGTTTAAAAAGTTAAGACAAAAGACCACAATTGCTAGAACTCAATGTAAGAAATCCAGATCGAATTAATGAAAAATCCATTGTGTTAAAGTCTCTATGAGTAACTAAATCATAGAACTCTAGAACAAATGTGCTTGTTCCACGGTGAACTCCCTTTTTGGGATAGATAAGGGCACTCCACCTGACAAGCCATCGAAATAATCAGTTGAAATCGCGTTCCCCGTCGGATAGCACCTGTTGAATTCGGGAAAACCAAAAAAACTAACATGGGCCTGAAGGATTACGTAGTGCCCATGATAGCAGTCTCCGTTTTCCTTGTGATTGGCTGCATGATGTTCACATTTATCTGTTGCCTGGCCAGGAAAATGCAAAACATGGTCAGGGCTCGAAGTAAGCCTTTATAGTTACTTCTAGTGCAATTGATGTAGTTAATTGTGATAGATACAAAGTAAGAGAGTGAAAACATATGTGCGACTTGGCTATGTCACCGGAGAACGCAATCGCTTATCGCCTCAATGGGCCATATATATTTGCTAGCCATTGATTAGACATGGTTTGACGAGTGGTCCGTTGGCCATCTAGATGAGAGCTTTTTTCCAGTCTGCTTCGGTATCGTCTGGAAGGCGATTGTGTGTTCATTTTTTCACGTTCAGTCTTCGTACTATTGGAAATGTGGGCATTTTTCGTAGGCCTAATTATTGCCTTTACCATATTTATTGTTACATCGATTGTGGTTTGCATAAGGCGAAAGCAAAAGGCTGCGAGAAATGTGGGCTATACAATCAGCGAAGGCGGCGGTAAATGCACAGAACTAATAAATTAAATATACATTTATACCATATCAAGTTTTCTGGTTAAAAATGATCAAAGCGCCTTAAAATGAAGCATTAATTATCTGAACAGCAATCGCTTATCGTTGGAGTTTGCCATATAAAAGGTTGCCTTTGAGATTAGACATGTTTCAATGCGTGGGTCAGGAGTGAGCTTTTCCAGCAGTCTTCTTTGGGATCTTTTGCAAGGCGAATGTGTTTTTTCCAAGTTTAATTCTCTTATATATTTATTAAAAATGTTGGCAGTCATTATATGGCTTTCGATTCTATTTTCTGTGTTCTTTATAACAACAATTGTGGTTTGCATTAGGCGAAAGCAAAAGGCAGCTCAAAATGTTGGCTATACAATCAGCGAATCAGGTGAAAGGAATATATATTTTACATTTATTTCCCTAATTCTTGTTCAAGTTCAATATGAACTTTATCATGAATATAAATGTAGATTATGTGATAACTATAGAGCTTATCTGTGATATGACAGCAATATGTTTGAAGTATTTAATAAATATCAATACCTAATTCCGATATACTCCTATTAAAAAGGATGAAATAACAAGAGCACTAGAATGATTCATCAATTAAACAATATGGCAGGAAAAACTGTACATTTTCTTTTCGAGTGCAATAAAGGGGGAACTTTTTCTTTCTGTTTATGAAATTAATCAGAACGGGTGGCGGCTTATCGGAGACCTCTGCGACTCAAGTGGTTTCTGATGGGATGATGACTCACTATCATTATTGGCACAGCAGTTCTTCCGTTTCTAATTTTCAATTTCTGCTTTCTGCTTTTCCTCTCGTTGCAGCGCCCGTGGTGGTAACATCCGCCACCCACACGGCTCCTGGCGGATATCCGGTCACACAGCTGCCGCCTCCAGGATATCCGGCGGGCAATGCCTACGCTCCCGCTCCATATCCCGCTCAGACCACCGGGTAAGTGTAGGATTAGAGCTAAAAGTGTAGCTGTTTCTATGTATCTCTTTTCTCTCTTTTCTCTCTTTGTGTGTTTGTCCTGCAGCAATGTGACCGTCCAGATGCCCATGCCGATGCCCCAGCAGCACCAGCAGATGCCCATGCCAATGCCCGGGTAAGTTTTGCCTTCAGGCCAACCAACTGCAAACACAAATACTAATTAATACGTTTTTGTTCTGTCTAACGCAGCATGCAGACGCATGGCGTGTCATATCCTGCCTATCCTGGCGCCGGACCGGCCAACATGAATCCGCCGCCGTACGACATGGCCATGGCCAATCCCGGTCCGAGCGTAATGCCCGCTGGCTACGAGAAGCAGGCCCCCTACAATCCCAACTTCGGGCAGTGATTCGCCACTGCGAACTGACAGTGAAATCGATGTGCGGCTATCCGGTTTTGAGCCTTTTTTTCTTTATATCTTTTATACTCTCTGCTTGTTGGATACATTAGTTCTTTACCTCATCCGTGTATCTGTGTACTTTAATTAATGGAAAAAAAAAAACTGAAGCAAATGAACTCTAAATTAGTCAACGATTCATTTCCCGACTGCCGTGGGGAAAACCAAAGTGAGAGCGATCGCAAAACGAGCCATTTTTATATATTCCTTGTGATGTAAATATTACTTAAGCGCAACCTAGTATTAAGTTATACATCTACTCTAAGGAACACTCCCAAAACAAAACAAACGAACGCCACATGAAGTGTTTATTGTAATAAAATAGAGTGGAGTGCACAGCAAATACAAACTGAAGCTAATTTGTAACAGTGTGCACTTTCACGAAAACCCAAAAAGGCAAATTGGTTTAATTATTTTATGGTATTAAGTGTTATTTCTAATGGAAAGTGTAGGGTTAAACATGTACTTCTAAATTATATTAGTTAGGTTTAGGTGTCCTGGATTTATTTGAAGACTTAGTATTATTTCGAATGATATATATTTATACCCTTGCAGGGTACTATAATTAAAGTCGAAAGGATATAAAGTATATATTGTCCAGATCAGCAACAACAGCCGAGTCGATCTAGAATTGATTTTGCTTTCCTAAGCTATACAATGTTTCCCCTTTAAGTGTCTTTGTTAGTTGCAGTTTTCAACGTCAAGATTCCCCTAACTAATCAGATTGGTCATGGCTTCGCGCTAAATCAAGCTAGCAGTTAAGTTTTAGACGTTAGTTGAGTTATCCACTGCCACGCTGAAGAAGTTGGTGTTGATGAAGCATCTTAAGCTACTTTTGGTCTGCGTCAGCGCCTGTGTTATGACTCTAGGAGCTAAAGACCCACATATAAAACCAACTCTGTGCCGGCCCGATCTCTGTCCGCACTCGCAGAATCATTTGGGCTGCTTAAGCAACAATGTAACCTTCAATCCCTGAGAACCCAAACGAAGAAACTAAGCTACACCAATTTGTTGGCAGACTTTTGGCAAGAAATGCGGTGATAACAACTACATCATCAACGTGAATGGTGGCCTTCGGCTGAGCATTCTCGACCGGATCAATGTGATGCGCAACTACATAGCCAGCGGAGCGGGACATTTACCGGCGGCCGCCCGCATGCCCACGATGGGCTGGGATACCAATCTGCAGCGTTTGGCCGATCTTCAGGCGCGGCAGTGCGACGAGAATGGCTGGTTCTGTGCCAACATGGATAAGTATCACTATGTGGCCACCACCGAGACCAAGGTCATGGTCAGCTGGCGCACCGTCATACATCAAGTAATTCTTGTGGGACTTTTGCCGGAGCTGTTCCTGGATGCCTTGGGCTGTAAAATGGGCACTGAGTACCGGTTGGAACCCATTAAACAGGGGTAAGTTATTGTTATTATAGATAGGCTACATTCTCGCCTTTTCTTGCAGATCCTGCGTGGGCCACTATGTACCGCTGATTGAGGATCATGGCGACCGGATGGGCTGTGCCCTTCGCTTGAAGACAGACAAAAACACCACACGCGAGGACCGAACCGTGGTACTTCATCTCATCTGTCACTTCTCGCGGTCCAATGTGAACAGGCAGAAGCACTACGAGGAGGCCAAAGACCCCACATCGAAATGTGTCACCGGACCGAATCACCTGTACCCGTATCTCTGCAGCACCGATGAGGTAGTGGATGCCAATGAAATTATGGAGGAGCCTGCAGATTCCCCCTAGCTGGATCCCTTCTTAACTGTGTCTAAATAAACCGATGAAATTGCCTACCGTACTAAGCATGACTTATTGATTAAATAGTTCATTTGCTGGGGTGAAGTGAGGCTTGGTCTGTGAAGCGATAGGTACGCTTCAGCGGGAATCGATTGAGTGGCGAACTCTATAAGAGTCAGCGCCGGGTGGACGGAGCTGGCCAAACTGGCTGTTTCGTCGAGATGTTGGACACCATGTGGCCGCCGCCGCCGTTGCTGATGTTGCTGTTGCTGATTCTAGGGGGACAACAGCTCCAGGCCTTCGACTACTGCGATCCAGCTTTGTGTCCTGGTCCCGAGAAGCACATAGCCTGCAATAATTTTGGGGTGACTATGGGGCATCACTTAGCCCGATAAACTCGATCCTGATTCCGATCCTAATTGCAGAGGCTAGCGGACAGCTGTAGTCCGGATGCGCATGTGGTGCGGATGACTACGGCCCGCCGCACTATGATCCTCAACGAGCTGAACGAATATCGCGATAAGGTTGCTCGAGGCGATCTCGTGGGCTTCAGCCCGGCCACCCGGATGGCCACGCTGCAGTGGGACCAGGAGCTGGCCAGTTTTGCCGAACTGAACGTTAAGCGCTGCGCCCTGGTCAACGATCATTGCCGGAACAGCGAGCAATTTCGCAACGTGGCCCAGGTAGTAGCCGAGGGCGGCTGGGACCGGGATCCCATTGAAGACCCGAACCACCCCCATCCAGGTCCCGTGGTTAACCACCCCGAGGACGAGGTGATCAAGGCAACGCTTGTCCAGATGTTCGCCGAGTACAAGGAGTGTAGCATGCGTGATATCTTCGCCTTCAGTCCGCCCACCAACAGGTAGGTTAGTGCTCTTTGGAGCACCATCACCGCTCACCTGCCTCGAATCCGAATCATTTTCACCAGAATTCTTCGTTTGCGGATCAGCAGGTGCTATGCCTTCTTCACACAGCTCGTCCGGGACAGCACCACCCATGTGGGCTGCGGCATTCTTCGGCAGACACTCAATACCACCAACGAGGCCGGGCAGTGGGTGGCCAATGTCCATCAGTACATGACCTGTAACTTTAACCGGGCGGACGACGTCAATGCTCCGGTCTACCAGAGCGGCGACCGACCGGCCACCGAATGTCGCAGCGGACGCAACCCCGTCTTCCTCAACCTGTGCTCCGTCAATGAGCTCTATGGCAGTGCCAACCTGCAGGGATTCTTGTGAACTGGAGCGGGAGGGGGGAGCAGGCTTAAAGCAGGCCAATCCATCAGTTTTACAGACACAAAAATTACTTAAATAAATAAAGGAGATAAAAAAATACCTAATTAAATAATATATAATACCAAGTAAGGCGGCAAAAAAGGTCCTTGCTAAAGTGGATATGCTTGGGTTAGGATAGGTCCTTTGAAAAGTTTTTATATCTCAGGACTTCTTCTAAATCAACACTGCAAAATCACATTAAATTAACTTACACATTCAATTTAATAGTTTACATTTTTTAAGGAATTTACAATTAGCTAATGACAAGCGATAAATGTATTTAAAATGATTTTAATTATTTTTCAACATTTTCTCTTTGTCCCTGGCATATTTTTTCTCAATTTTTTTCCCCACACATTTTTTTTATATATTTTATATTTATAATATCATTGCCATCAAATATGTCAATAGCAAGTCTCTTTGTTTGGCAAATACAATTAGGAATAAGCTGATAAGTTGTGCAAATAAAATACTATTTTGTGGTGGCTGCCAAAAAGAAATCATTAACGAGTGACACTAAAAAGTGTAGCTAATTAAATTACATTTGAAATAAAATTGTAACAATCTATCTCTTTTTTTTTTTTTATTAATTATGGTTTCATTCAAACAGATTTTCTTTTTTGTCTCCTCTCTTCTTTATATTTAAATTACTATATTTGTTTGACAATTGCGAGTCCGAGTTGAATCACTCTTTAATGCCATGGCCATTATTATAATGAACCTGATTCGCCGCTCGGGGTTCGGGCAAATTGAAATGTGTTTCCCCCTCGCACCTTGGCTGGCACCTGCCTGCTGGGGGCTGCCTCCTGCATCCTGCAGACTCGCTGTTTTCGCACCTAGGCGACTGCCAGTCAAAGTCAGCAGCGCGGTCGCAAAAAAGTTCGTTGACAACTTCAGCAAACAAATTTTTTTATCGCGCACTTGCCACACCTTCGCGGTTTTTTTTTATTTGTTTTTATATTCAGTTTTATTCATTTTTTACCCAGGAAAAAATGGCAAGCGCAGCGTGAAATACGCAGCAACCGCAAATGGTCCGAAACGTAGAAAAAATACATGCGAAAATATCTAGCAATTTCGGCTAAATTTAGTGCAACAAAAAAAAAAAAAAACTATTTTGCTGTTGATAGAATGATTTATTCAATTGTAAAATGTGCTCGATTGTGCCAGAGTTTTGCGTTAAAAGAGAATCGTGGGAGCGGTTGCATATGTCGTGCTTAAAGTATTTCATTAAATATATATTATATGAAGATATATTTTACGTTTAGCCATAGACTCGTTTCAGGACCGTAAAAAATGTATAAGTTGTATTTAGGAGATTCTGAAAGAGCTCCAAGGTAATAGGACGAATATTGCCAAGAAGTATCTGTAAGATACAAGAATCTTAGCCTTGTGAAATGTAGTTCAATAATTTCAGAGTTTACTTACCGATGCCGGCCTTTGGGCCCTCATCATCATAAAAATTATGTTTTTGCGAACAGGAATTTCGTAGGTGTACCACTCTGTCTCGTAGGCTGCTGTGGCCACTGCCAGATTCTGCTCCCTCAGCTCGTTGGCATACCAGTAAAGGGCCAGGATTTGGGCCAGGATCATGTTGATGTACATGCAGACGATGATTATCTGACCGGTGCCATTAACCTAACAAAGTTTTTTAAGAGTTATTTTAAATAGTAACGGGTTACAAGTAAAAAAGTAAGAAATAACGATATATTTCTATGTTGAATCTATCGAAAAAATCGATAATAAACTTATTTTATGTCAACACCTCATTAACACTTAATACATCTTATATTTTCTTGTATCTTCTGAAATTGTTGTAGCGATTTGATCAAATTATTGAAGCTATAATTGATTTGTTTTCGATATTTAAAATTTAGATTACTTATCGGTATTTTAATCTCTTTTCTAAACTCACAATAATTAGCAGAAAGAGAAGAGCACAAAGTAAAGCCGAAAAGGCCAGCAGCTCGAAAAGGAACATCATCGTGGTAAGCTGATTTATGTGATCCATGTACTCGATAATGCTCTGCTGATACCGAATGCATTCGACAATCTCCGCCGCCAACTTTCGATTATCTCGTTGGCCAAACGGATGAAGTTTGGCCACCCGGCGGAGGCGATGCTGCAGAGCCTTGCAACGCACGATCCCGAACATGATCAGGGCCACGATCAGACTGGTGTAGGGAATGTACATGCAGCAGCCCATCGGGGTGATGGTCATCTGAAAGAGGTACCACAGCTGGTAATACGGGGTCTCGTACTCATTGAGGCCAGGAATCCTGCTACCAAATGGGAGAACTGTGAATATTTAAAGCTGTTTATTATATATTTATAAATTCCGTTAGGAAAAATCCATGTAATTAACCTCTCTCGCTTGAGGATAGAGGATACAGGCCGAAACCCACGCAGGTGAGTAGTCCAAAGAACAGATTACCCCTGGCCATCAGTTTACCAACCCGGTTCAGTTGATCTAACTCCTGGGTTATGTAGGTATCCCTCAGATTTATGAGATCGTAATAGGCCGCAGTTAGATTGTCAATTAAGGCCACGTAGCTGTCGTGGTCGAGCAGTAGGAGAAAGGCTCGCAGCACCGTGTTGATCCAAAGGACCAGCATATATGAGTTGCGAATTATACCAATGAGTCCTTCCGTGGTGCTTATCATGTAGACCAGTTGGGTAAAGATGTGGAAGGTGGCCAGGCCAATGCACAGATACTTCTTTATATTATTGTCATAAAGAAGAGCCCAGAAGCGCAGGATCCGGATGTTCATGTAAATCAGTTGAATGTCCTCGAACATGGCTAATCACTTGACTTGGGTTTCTAATGAAATTCTAAGGTATTCTGCTTGTACCCAGTGCTTTTATAGGGTTATGCCAGAGGGAGATTCTTTAATTTCTATACTCTTAAAAGGGGTTCTATACATTTTAGGGTAAACTAGAACCTTGAAAGTCCAATTCCAATTAATACAATTCATTGTAAAACCTATACATCTTGGTTAATTTAATTCTGTAGAAAATCAATATAAAACCTTTTTAATTTAATTGAAATATCAAGGGTATTAGGATGCCACTATGACACTATTTTATTTCTCTGGCACACGTCTTGCATGAACTCCCAGCTGGTTCTCTTTTGGTTGCAATTTCTGCCTAAATTGCCAATGATTTTGCAATATTTCTGCCATTGAAAATATGAATTTATTTGCTGCCTTTCATGGGCTATCTATTGATTCCTTTTGTGAATTATAAACGGTAAAGGAAGGAGTTGAGGAGGCGTAGTAAAGGGCCAGTTATCCTGGCTTATGGCACTTCAATCCATTTTTCATTAAATAAATTAGAAAACCAGCAGGTGCTTTTATTTCTAATGCAATCGATACGATTACATTCAAAAACTAATCAAAGATAATTTGTCTAATGTGTTTTGTTGATAATTGCACTGCACTTGGGCCTTAGATAGCGTAATTAGCATATAAATCGTAGATAAGGCTTATCGATCTGAGATAGTATGTTTAAACAAGCCTGTAAGTGATCTGGGCGATAGGAAAAGCTTTAATCAAGAGCTTTGTATAGCTTTTTCGGGGGTATATCTCTCTCTATTAATCAGTTGCTTTCCGACCCTCGACTTTGGCAGTCCAATTAAGTTTTCGTCGGCAGTGACATCATGGATCAGTGGATCGTAGTGCTCGCTTTGTTTATAGTGCTGCTCGGGTTGCTCTATAAATGGTCGGTGGCTAAATACGATATATTTCGGGAGAGGGGCGTGGCCCATGAGAAGCCCTGGCCACTGATTGGCAACATACCCATACGTGCCATGTTCGGCGGAATGCCTGTGCTGAAACACATGATCCAGATGCATCTGAAATACTCCGGATCGTCTGTATATGGGATATATGCCCTAAGGGATCCATACATCTTCGTTCGCGATCCGGAGCTCATCAAGCTGATTGGCATCAAGGAGTTTGACCATTTTGTCAATCACCATCAGATGCACAACAACATGCAGGAATCGATACTGTCCAAGAGTCTGATTTCGCTGCAGGATGGCCGCTGGCGGGAGATGCGCAATATACTGACGCCTGCCTTTACCGGCAGCAAGATGCGGGTCATGTACGACCTGATCCATGCCTGCAGCGTTGAGGGCGTGCTCTACGTCCAGGAGCAGCTACAAACCGGCACCGCCGCAGGCATCGACCTGGAAATGAAGGATTACTTTACGCGATTCGCCAACGATGTGATTGCCACCGTAGCCTTCGGGCTGAGCGTCAACTCGTTCAGGCGCAAAGATAACGAGTTCTTTCGCATCGGCCAATCCCTGTCTGTCATAAGCGCCTGGTCGATGGTCAAGGCTATGCTTCACGCCCTGGTTCCCCGTCTGATGAAGGTGTGTATTATCCCCTCCCGGGTGTCACCCGAATCTCTCTGGAGATTTTCAGGAAGAGATTTGTATTGACACTTGGTCCATTGTTCCTGCCATCAATTTCCTTTGGTCTTTTTGGTTCTGTTCATTCTGTTTCTTTTTCGTTTATTTTCTTTCATTCATAATAAAAACATATACAGAAGCTTTAACAAAACATGTCCTTGTATATGTTGACAGCTTCTACGCATCCAGGTGATGGACACCGCCAAGATTAATTACTTTACCAGTCTGGTCAACGTGGCGATGAAGTACCGGCAGGAGCACAATGTCATTAGGCCCGATATGATACACCTCCTTCTTGAGGCCAAGCAACAGAGGCATGCGGAGCTCAAGGATCAGACGAAGGATGCTCGGTTTTATAAGGAGTTCACCGATGAGGACCTATTGGCCCAGTGCCTGCTGTTCTTCTTTGCTGGATTCGAGATCATCTCCTCCTCCCTGTGCTTTCTCACCTACGAGCTCTGTTGGAATCCGGAAGTGCAGGATAAGTTGTACGAGGAGATCCTGTCTGTGAATCAGGAGCTTAATGGTGAACCTCTGACCTATGACAAGCTGACCAAGATGCGTTACCTGGACATGGTGGTGTTGGAGGGTTTGCGCAAGTGGCCACCGGCTATATCCACAGATCGAGTGTGCTGCGATGATATTGATTTGTGTGATGAGAATGGTGCGAAATTGTTTGCCGCCCGGAAAGGGGATGTCCTGCAGATACCCATCTTTGCGCTCCACCGTGACCCTGAAAACTTCCCGGATCCCGAGACCTTTGATCCTGAGAGATTCGCCGAGGAGCGACGGGATGAGATGAAGCCCTGCACTTTCCTATCCTTCGGAGTGGGGCCCCGCAACTGCATTGGCAATCGAATGGCTCTCATGGAGCTGAAGTCGATTGTCTACAAGCTTTTGCTGAATTTCAAGCTGCTGCCGGCTGAAAAGACCTCCAGGGATATACTGGAGGACATTGTGGGTCACGGGCTGAAGCCAAAGAATGGCTTCTGGCTGAAGTTTCAGAAGCGTCAGTAAAAAAAGGAAACAGCGATTGCATCTTTGTTCATTAATCGACTGCAGATTTTTCAATTAAAACTCGCATGCACCATTAATCAATCAACGGACGCGGGGATGGCTGGGGGTTTATTTAATTAATTTTAGTGCAAATGTCTTGAGTTAATCGAGAGTAATTGGCGAAACATCAGCCCGAGGAGCGATGCTGGTGACAGGCGCCGCTGGCCCCGACATACATGCGCTCCTCTCGAGCTCCTTGTCCGGTCCTCGGTTGACGCCGGCGGAAAAACAGAAACTCCGGCGGAAAACGGGACGACGCAGCTGAGGGGCCGAAAAGTTTTTGACATTCTCGTTATTTATGTGCTCCGGGGCGGTGGTATTTAGGCAAAAGTTTTGTCGGCTGGCCTAAGCAGTTAATACGATATTGATTTATTCGCCAGTCAACAGCTGTGAGATAATAAATATTATGCAGCAGCTCAAATACATATTTGAAATCTTTCGACTTGTCCAGGGCGAAACTTTTTGTTTTGATTCCCAGATTTGATTTATAAAGCGGCCAGCGATTAAGCTTTGATCCGGCCCAGACTTTGGTCCCAAGTTTTATAAGCTTTATAAGTTGGGTGGTTCGTTTGGGGGTAAAATAGCCAAGGGATCTGCTTTTCCGTGGAGTGAGTAAGTTATCCCCCAACAAAAGTTTACCAGGCGCAAGGAAGCTGAACTTTTTCTTTGTGTTTTTTTAACATTTTTATCCCCTCGGTTGATAATTATTTTTCTTGCCAGTTGACGCTTGAGAATTTGTCCTGGAAACTGACAAGATTTCTCATCCTTCATCTCCCCACAAATGGTGGTAGAATCTTGCAATTTGTTGCTGGGCTCTGGAAAAGCAACTAGTTTACATGGAGACGACCAGCCAAGGCAACTTGACCATAAGCCGGGCCCATTTGCATAATTATTCATTGCGCAGCATTATGAGCATAAATAGAACGCTGCTCCACTGCACAGCACCACTCATGGCAGGAGCACATGTGAAGATAATGCCCTGTACAGCATAATAAACTCATGTGAGCGCCTTAGGGTATGTCACGTTTTTCAAAACATCGCAAAGGGTATGTTTAGATCGAGTAAATTCATGTAATATTGGGAGGAAAGTGCAAGCTTTTAGGAAATATATCTTCTGGATTCTGCAGTTTGTAAATCCTTGGTTTTTTACTCTTAAGTAGTGAACATTTTTATTAGGGATACATTTGATACAACTTTGCCCGGAAAAAGGTAAGAAACTCTGGCACTGTAGTGATTTTTATCGATAAATAAATTCCAATATATCGAAAAACATCGATGGCGCTAAGAACTCAGTTTAAATAATATTTTAAAGGAAACATCATTCATACTACAAGTTAATTTTCTTTGATATACTATGTAAAATGTACATATACCATATAAACATTCCAGACAATTATTGCTAGGAAAATATAGATATTTATTATCGACAAGATGTCGATAAATAAATAATTTGATGTAATTGAAATTGTAAAGAGAAAATTTTAGCTAAGGACCCGAACCACGCATAATTATATATTAATAGAAATAACAAATACGAAAATAGTAAAATGTTTAAAAAAGTTTTAAAGGCAATTAAATGCTTTTTAGAATTTAATTTCATTATATATATTTTTTTTAAAATATTTTATTAAGCGACAATAGCTGCCAGGTCATCTCATAGTCGTGACCCCAGCCAAGGCCTTCTTTCTTGTTCATTCTTATTTATTGTTTAGCATTTTTTATGGCCCAACCGCAAGTTGCTCGGGCTATTTATGGCCAACATTACACGCTGATGCACTTGCAATCCGCTTGCAGTCGCTTACTACTGCCTCGGAATACCAATTGCAATAATAATGGAACCGTTTTCGGCTTCAGAGGAGATTCCAATCGAGAGAATCTATTCTATAGAACAGATTAATATCGCCTAGACCCGAGCAAATTACACAACAGTTGTCCGGGATGAAGGGGCTTTGGCATATTTGCGGATGTGGGTTTGCGGCCATTCCAGGCAGTGGCTTTTGAGCTGATCCCGTCGTCGTCTTTGCTGCTCGAAATTAAACGCAAACTCCGACAAAGCTCCAACTATTCTCATAAAACTGACATGCTTGCTCTGCTCTGTGCTGGAATCCCTGTGCGAGACTGTGTGGCGGCGGGGACAACCTTAACACCGAAATACTGAATTAAATAAAGTTCAACTCGAAATTGCATTACATTTATGAACGTGAGTGCGTGGCGTTGTCCTTGCAGCAATGTCATTGAATTTATCTGCAGGGTTTTCCTCCGCACAAACCGCACGGTGCGGAAAGTTTTTCCACAGCAATGTGCTTATAAAAAATCTCATATGTGGGCTTGGCAGATGTTCCACGAAAGCTGCCTGGAAAATAATAGAAATTGAGAGAGGAACTTGTGGAAGTTACATGGGTTTTCTAAAGGATAATACCATTTTCTGTGCATTTTATTAAGTGAATATTTAGTTTTTCTTTATTTCCAAATTTGTAAACACTCATTTATATTAATTAAAGCTAAAGGCTTGTTCTTTAATATCTAAATAAATTACATTTTGCAGATATTGCAAAGATTACATCATATTTTGTCACATTAATTGACCTATTTCAGGCGCCGGCTGTTGATATACTTTTTCTCCCATTTCCGATGATAATTTCACATCCAATCGAATTTCATAAACGGAAATTTAATTAACTTTGATGCGGCCTAATTACTATAATTGCATTTAAGGCTTTAAGCCACTTTGAAATCGTTCGGTTGGGCGGAGCCGACGTAACTATTGACAACCTGCAACCAAAGCAATTAATTTAATTTACAAAATTCGGCCCGCCGCCTTTCTATGCAAATATAATGCATATATTTGCGTATGCATATGTATCCGATATATATAGTATTTACAGTAACGATTCCCAGTTAATATGCAGCCAATTGTTGGCAGTTTGCGGTTCGGCACAAAGGCCGTGCTGTGGCCTTTGCCACTACTTAGCCAAATTGCCGCACTGAGTCCTGTGCATGGCAGGTCGCATTAAAATTTTATGCATATAATTTATGTCCTGTGTGTGCGAGAGCTGGTCCTGGTGCTGGTGCTGGTCCTGGTGCTGATCCCCACAGCAAGTTGATTTAAATTGATGCATGACTTTATTAGGGGAATTATAATCTGAACGGGACAAATTGATGGGATATTACTCATACGCCAGAGACCGACCATTCATTTCACAGCTTACGTTTTATTAGAATTCTAGGCCTAGGACGCTCGGAGACAATCTTGTTTGGGATTAGTCCGAGCTCTCTACTGCTCGCTGTTCCCCGGTTCACTGGGCCATTTCGCCGTTTTATTATTTCCCTTATTTTCCAAAAGACCGGCTATAAATACGTATACGCGCGCACATCCCGACATCCTGTGCATCCGTTTTCCGGGCCTTTTATGACAGCCCAAAGTGCCTACTTATAAAATCAAAATCATAAAAAATAATGTTAATTTCAATATTGTCTCATTAAATGTGTATAAAACTCCAGCCGGTGAGCACATGTGTGTGTGTGTGTGTGATGAAAGAAATTTCCGGCTGGACGAAGGGCGTGCGGGGCAATTTGTTCATTTAACCTGCCTCATTGCACAGTGGTTAAAGTTAAGGGCTTATTAGGTGAAAATTAATATTATATAAATATATTTAAAAGCTTTATATGTTTTTTTATTGAAACGTTTGCATTTATTTATATTTTAAGAAATCTTTACACAAAAACGTTTTTAAAATTAACGTTTTTTTAAATATTAAAGTTACAGAAATGTTTATATAAATCAAATTTTCAAGTTAAACTTTGATTTTAAAATATAATAAATTTAACATGATTTTTTATAGAAATGTAGACTTTGATTGTATTAAAATAATGTGAAATCTGTAATCTATCTTAGTGAATATATTATATATGTTCTAAATATTAGATAAAAAATACGATATTTAGTATTTAAAACTGAAAAAATTTAGCGACGAATATGTTTTTATTTTTAAGTAGTAAATAAATTAATGTTTCGCACTATTTGTATTTTAATTATAATTATTATTTTTTTATTCAACTTTTAATCCTTTTAAAATGCAAATTATTGTTTGAATATTTCCTTTAAATATACTATTTCAATTTATAGGCAACAGTATCTAAAGCCTGGATCATTATTTTCATATCCAATTTTCATCAAATTTCGGCCCACTGTGCTGGTTTTTTATTTTCCCCAAGTATGGGTGCGTGAAATTTAAATAAAACGTGCGATTGTCGAGCAGCTGTTGCCGTTTCCCCTTAGCAGGGAGTGACGTGGCAAGGGCGAAGGACGCCTGGATCGACGGGACTGACAGTTGAGAATCACGCACCCACACGCACATACAAAACACGTGGAACTGGCGCCGGATGCTGCCTGTCGGTGAGTGTGTATGTGTGTGTATATGTTACACTCCCTCACACACGCACAGCGGTCGGGAAATGTGACAGGATGTCATTTTGCAACGCATCCGAAACATAAACACACGCTTTTCTTTTGTACTCCGCCTACATACATATGTGAAAATTATGCTGCTAAAAGGCGGCAAATGTTTGCATTAGTGTCTCCTTCCATTTATATACATACATATGTATTTATATATGTGCGTGGGAGGGTAAGTTTTCGGAAAACAAGCGAAACTAGAAAATTTGCATAAGCGTCGCTCCATTATCACAGCTTTCCCTGAGCGCGCACGAGTGTGTAAGTGTGTGTGTGTGTATGTTTTATTTTATTTAAAATACACGTAATATTCATAATATGACACAAATGCTTGTCTCATAGTCGGAAAACGTAAAATATGCTCAACACACGCGGCGGAACTTGTTGAATTCGCTTTTAATGTCCCTCTAATAGTTACTCTTTGAACGCTCTTTTGCGGTAGAAAGTGCATTAATTAATTAATTAATTTGATTTACTTTTATTCATTTAAAATGCAATAAAACCATTTTAAAACAATTTATTTGCAATAAATTATTTGTGATGCCATAAAATGAGTATTGCATAATTTATAGACAGTAATGGCAATCATTTCCGTTGACTTGTTGTCCTTCCTTGAATTTATGTTTTATCTGAATCTTGTCTGCAATTGCACTCGCGCCACATAAACAAATATATTTTAATTAATTCGTAGTTGTATCATTTTATTGGATTTCATTTCCCCGGGTTATTTGGACATTGCAAACAACAAACAAACATTCATCTACTGATAAGCAACACAAAAAGCAATTCGTATATAAGTTATTTAGCCAGTTGGCTTTTTTGGCCAACTGA